TTAATTTGAAAAAAATAAATAAATTATATGCTATGTTTTATGACAATTTTGTATGTAAGCAACATTGAGAAGGTTATAGAGCAGGTATTGTTCTCCGGTAAAAATGTAATCTGGGCATTGTTACCTATTCAGCTCAACCCGAGTGCACCATACTCAGCATGATCAGTGACAGGATAGCTGGGTGCATGTCCTTTAAGAATGTGAGACGTAATAGAGGTTTTCGGCCTCCCTGACACACTCTTTAAACCGGAAGACCTAAGATTTTATTTCAAGACGAACCAGCAGCGCAGCAATGCAAAGGCTCAATAGCAAAAATATGACCGCACATTACTAATGGCTCAATAATGCAACTTGGACACTGTGTACAGAGAAAGCAAAGCTGCACGGAAAGAGGACTCCTATCATTGCGGTTCTGCATTTTTAGATAAATCAGATAGACACCGAAAAACACTTACCAGTAAAAATATTCCGGATATGGATTTATCCGGAAAACTCGGAATTTAAGTACTTCCAATTTAAGATATTTAACCTTTTCTTTTTTTTGGAAAGGAGGGGGGGGGGGGGGGGGGGGGAGGGGAGGAGGAAGACAACCCGTGCGGCTTTTTACATTTTTTATTTCCACTTTTGCTCGTGTCGCAGAAAAAAAAAATCTTTTGGATCCTCATAAAAAAAAGGGGGGGGGGGGGGGGGGGTGACACAAAAGCGACAATTGTCGAATACGTCTGGCCGTTCAATTCCAGACGTTTTAATTTTCTGCATCGTAAACATCCGAAAAACTCCGAACTATTGTGGACGGTGAAAGACCGTAAACATCGAAAAACTCCGACTCTCAGGAAAAAAATAAACTTAAAAAAAACACCTCAGATTTTCTTGAAAACGAAACTCCAAAAACGCAGATCCCTATTTTATACTCCTTCTCGGCAAAACAAAACAAAACGGCAAAACGAACGCTGCGGAATAGATTAAGAAATAAGCACTGAAAGTTCGTTATAGTATCCCTTTAACACTTCCTAATGTAAAGGAATACTACAACCAAATTTCGGCGCTTATTTTTCGGTCTATTTGTATTGAAGGGACCAGTATAACACCATGCACACCACGATAAGGAGTTTTAAAACAAATTATACGATTAGTAAAGAGCATCTGGTAGATGTAGCTAACGCTTCGTTTGTAATGGCCGTCTAGAGATCTTGACAGGTAGTGACGATGTTTGTCTCGCCTCCGGCCACCACGAGAGACAAGCTGAAGGAGGAACTCCCGTCTCCCTGAGACTCTCTCTTTTGTTTGTCCCAGATGTCACTATTGTCCTTCTACAAGATTATAGAAGATTAACCCGTCACTCAAAATTCGTTCAAAGGCAGCTTTTGGGGTTAGTTGCTGTGGCCCGATAGCTGGTGTGCTTCGGCCACTTCGATGGCTGGAACCTCTTGGACGTCCTCTTGACGTCAGCCTAGACGAAGCTTTGCTCGTCCCGAGACAATCTCTTTATTTATTTTATTTTTATAAACTGTCAGCCCCAATAGGCCTATTGCAAAAATAATAAGAAAAAGTACAAAAAAGTGAAACGTTATTACTTAGGCCTAAAGAAAGTACATAAAAACGATACAGTCTTTTTTTTTTAATCACAAGACAAAACATACGGTAAGATCAAATGTTTACTGACACAAGAAGACTATCGTTTCAATTAGTCGCACACGCAACAAGATAGTTTATACTCTCCATAAATTCACTGAGAGATAAAGATAATACAGCGGAGTCAGGTAGCATATTCCATTCCCTAATGCCCTTAGGAAGAAAGCTGTATTTATAGAAATCATTTCTTACAGATGGATTAAGGACGTACATGCTGTGACGACGTCTTGAGGATTCAGCGGCAATTATATCAAAGTAGTCAGTTCTACTGATATTTATAAATTTGTGAACAATCTGAAAAATCAATTTCAAGCTTTTTCGTACTTTGTTCTCTACGTCACGTCAGGATTGCGCCGGATGTCACGTGATCTCCGCTGGCTGCTCTCCGAGCGCTGGCCATAGTGGGCCGTCTATAACGACGCGAATACAGCAATCAGGCTCAAAATACAAACGTACGATTGTCATTTACGGATATTGTGGGTCATATTTAGCCTATTTCTGAACACGACGGGTATATTTCAAATCTTTTTTAAGTCCTACATTGTGTTTATTAAAGGCTTCACTCAACTGTTACTAAACTTTTTTTTTTTTTTTTTTTTTTTTTTTTTTTTTTTTTTTGTAGAGTGCGTTTTTTCCTTCGCTAGGCCCTGCGCAACGAAGAAGCCGCTACTGCGCCTGCGTGTCGATGGCCTTGACAGTAGAGTTCCGGGCATTGTAGCGGGTTGCGGAGATTGTCGCGTGACGGCGAAAACCATTTACGAAAACTCTCTACAATACTAAGCCGAAGAAACGTAATGCAAAATGTCCCCGGAACAAACACCAGCAGCGTTTCCCTACCAGAGACATTAGGGACTTTGTTTACAGAAACATTCTCGCATGTTGTTTCAGTTGCTGTCAACTCAAAAACGTCGCGCGTCTGTGAGCTTGAGCGGACAACGATTGCTCGCTCGCCCGCGTATACTGCACATGTCGGAACATTAGGGCATGCATAAATATTGAACGACACGCACCACCCGTACCTCCGTCAGAGTCCGAACGTTCAATCATTAGAGGCAAATGCAGCGATGTTTTCTTGCCACCAGATGGCGCATCGTAATGTGTCACTTTGTGTCTGTGCAGTCATTCGAGAGAGACATCGGATCTCGAGAAGCGAAATCTTGCACCGTTGCTTCTTTCTGACTTTACATGTGCAACCTCTGCCATTGTTTTTTTTTTAGCTTTTGAATTGTAAAGAAGGACAGTTTTTGTTTTGGCATCCTGACATGTTGAGGCCCATTACTTCATGCGTTTGCGAGAGCGTGCGTGAGTTCTAGCAGTTGCGCGGGCCGGCGTGTCCTATCCACAATCTATGCAATGTAGTGGTGTTGTTGGCAGTGACAAATCGTAAACAAAAACGCGAAATATAATTTATCACGACCAGTATGTTTTTTTTTTTTTTTACTTCTCCTTGTTAAGGATCCCCGCCACGAAATGCTCGTTACAGACGAGGTAGCAACAACAACACGACAAAGTAACGTGTTTCTGTTTCACGAGAGAAGTTTTAAGTCTATGTAAAGCTAACAAAGAGAGAGACGTTCTTACTAATTCCACATTTTGAGAATTGATTATTCGCCCAAAGTTTACTATCTCCCCGTTGATAACACACCCGAGCTCAATTATGTTGTGTGTGCGCCAAAATTTTACTTAGTACTTGATTATCTGTTCATTAAGGAACAAGTTTAATGCACTGAATTATAGGTGAACTGTATGCTGAGATAAATTACGTCTCAAAGGGGGGGGGGGGGGGGGGGGGGCCTTTCCCCGGGCTACGCGCCCGGTTTTTCGTGATTGGCTGTCTATGTTCCATACGAATGTGAACTTAGAGCAGCTTTTGAGAGTGTACTCTGGCCGAAACGATTTAACGGAACAGCTTGTTAGCCAGGTTTATAATGCTTCCGTGTTATCTCATGGAGGCAAAGAAACGTGTTTGCTTACGTCGCGTCGGTCAAACATGAACCAGCGGAGCTTGTTGACCATTCGCCTGTTGGGAAGTGCCTCCAACAAGACGGGGTTAAAATCACGGACCCAAACAAACAGAGGTCGATAATCGATAAGGAATTGGGGGCAGCATTGTGTGCATCGTTCCCTTGTTTGCAACAAATAGTAGTCAAGCGCGGGATGAAAACAGTCCAGCGGCGCTTGCTTGCCGCTTCGGCAAGTTAGAGAAGCACGTGTTAAACGGGCCAGTGCCCATACACAGCCCAACTTGCAATCTTTACAGCCCAGCACGCGTGAGTTCGTCGCCTTGGAAAACGAGCAAAGCGCGCGCCATACGCGCGGACGCTCGCAATGGCACCATCCGAAAGCCTCTTCTGGGAATCGTCAACTATTTTATGCTACGTTCTCAATGCTAACGTAGCCCACGCAGTGCTCCAACGCTGTCAAAGCTCCTTGCATGAGAGCGAGCAAATGAGACGCAAGAAGAATTGGCACGTCGCAAAGATGCGGGGCTGAAGCGCCGTGGAAGCCACGCCTGCCTCGAAAACGTAACAAAACATATTTGACACCGATTATCCAATGGTAGCTGCCGGAGACAAGTTCGTGGTGCTGTGCAAACAAGTGTGATTTTTTAGTTGTTTTTGTGTCGGCAGAGTTCTACAGGAAAGACACCACAGCTCCGGGATAGATTTAGGCACTTGTGAACACGTGATACGCTCGACTAAGAACCCGAGGTCTGTGAACACGTGCTATAGTTGTTGTTGTAAGGGTTAGACGGGAAAGGAAGAAGTGCCAGCGCGTGATAGAACAAAAGGTGGCCTGCTCAGCTTCAAGACTCTGAGCAACTCAGCGACGGCCAGATAGTTTCGTTTTTCCCGGCGGATAGCAGGTACTCATAGCCTCAACGAGACAATATTGCACAAGCCATCTGTAGTAAGCCCGACGGTTTAATATTAATACACGAGTTCTTCGAGGCTAAGATTTTACGAGTTCTTGCGAGGACGACAAACTACGAGAACTATTCTGGATTGACTTTTCGTGACGCTGGGGAGTAATAAAAGTTGCAATGGAAAGTGTCCCGTATGTCTGTGCGTCGATTTGGTCGAACGCAACTGTTCTATAAGATTAAACACCTGCGATGCCTTTTAAAGAAATTATGAGGCTTTTAAAGATTTGAAACCCTGCATGTATAGTACGTATATACATGACGAAGACATTAACTTCCCTGCGATATTGTGGCGCTTAGCAACACGCCTCGTCATATAATTTTTTTTTCATGAAGCAATCAAATGGCTTTAGAAACGACGCGTTTTTGTGAGGTTCACTCGTGAAAGGCTTACCTCTTCACCAGACGCGGCAGACACTTGTAAAACGTCACTCTGTAAAAACACCTACGGTTTATTCGCGTTAAACGCGTACACAAGGTCACGCAGGGCGGCCGCAAAGTGTTCCGCCACCTCGTCTTGAATATCGAAGTAATAGTTGCTTCGAAACAAGAGCGCGAGCAAGTCTGCGTTGGCCCGAAACATCTTGAGACCCCGGAAGGACACCTTGAGGTCGCTCATATCCTCGGCCTCCGCCGAGACCAAGTCGACCTCGTCGCCACTCCACTCAAACTCCGTGGTCAGCGTCATCGAGTCCACGCTCACGTCCATCTCGGCCGGCTCGCTGCGTCCGTAAAAGCTCACGTTGGCCGCGTAGTGAAGGTCCAGCCGTTTGGCGGCCACGGAAGCGATCACATTGCGCCTGTTCACCACGGTCACGTTGTACCTTTCGCAGCACACAACACCGCGCACGGTTCCGCCGTAGATGTCGACCTGGCCGGTGAAAGCGTTCAGCGTCACTCGAAGCATCCGGTTCTCGAGCTTGACGTCTTGGAGCGCGGCGCTGTCGAGGCTTGAGAGTACGGCCAGAGCCGATTCCCGAGCTTGCTGGCTGCCGCCCCGCTTGGGGGCCCCACTCACCGCGACTGTCACGAGAAGCACGGTCAACACCGTGCTCATGGCACACACCGCCCCCTCCGTCGTCGACGCGGATTGTGACCGCCACCGCTCGCTCAACCGGTTTCGGGAGGGTTTCCAGGCCCCGACGACGGTCTTGGACGCACACACCGCGACGACACGTTAGCGCAAATCACGACGATGGCGGAAGGCGCGCGAACGTGCTTGTTTGTCGCCTCCGTCCGACGACGCGTTCCGGGCAGCGGAGGTAGGTACGACTCGGCGCGCTCAAAGGTCGCCACGCGCGGGCGATCAAAACAGGCGACATGGTCGGTCGTTCTGGGCGCGCGTTTAGCTCCGCGGCGTAGCGATGGAAACTCAGCTGCCTTCTCTCTCGCCAGCTTCCCTTCCCCCGGTTTGAGGGAGCAAAGTGGCGCGACAACTTCGTCTGCGTTGTTCGCTCGACGCCTGCTACCTGATATTTTACGCGCCGTTTTTTTTCTTTTGCGCGAGCGCCGCGAACGACCCAGTCGGCCCAGCCCCTCGCTCTTAGCCGGGAGCCACTAAGATACCACAGAGTACCGCATTCCAGGGCTTCCGCGAGATGGTAGACTGGAAAGCTTCGATTGGCTCGTGATGGTCACGTGATACTAGCGTCCGTAACTTGTTTTCTTTTTTCTTTTTCTTTTTTTTTTAAATTGAACCAAATATTAGTGTTTTTTTCATCCTACGCTGCGGATTTCGTGCTCTGCGCGGTAATCTATACAGCCCCGCCTACATCTCCCTAACACACCTTTTGTCCGGGTTGAACACAACAGAATTCCCTGCACAAAGTACACAAACATGTGCTCCCCCTTCCCTCCCCTTCATTGACACACCTAAATGAACCCCTGGCTCGGCCATGTGTGCGTGTGCTCAATCCGGGTTCAACGTACGATCTACAAAAATCTATATTTATCGGCAAAACACCGTTAACATTAGAAATAATGACGCGCATTGAATGACAACGTAGAAAGCGAAGTTCTACCTGGGTCTAGTTTAGTTCAGCCAAAGGTTCAGTGCAAGTGTTTTATGGAATCCCAGAGGCAACAAGGAGACGCTTCGACAACCAAAAATTCTCACTTCTCTGGAAAGACACCAGCCCCTAGCGACGAGCTTAACGCTTTCTCAAGAGCAGGAGGAAAAGCTTCGCAACAACCTTTCACATTAACGTATCCAGGTCGCGTTTCCGGTTTCTGCGGTGCATACTTTACGCACGCAGTCGGACAAGACTCCTCACATTTTGTTTTCGAACACCGCCTACGGTGTTGCGCGTGCCTTGCACCGCCAATGTGACACATATTGACATACGTGGTATCTTAGCGTTTAGGGTATTCGCAAATTAGTGGTTGTGATGGAGAGAAACTTGGCTTTTCGGCTAAATAAATGGTATGCTTTTATTTGTTTTGTATATTTATATATCGAAAACAAGGCCGGGCGTTGTTGTCTATAAAACGATAACATCTAGACGATTTGCATTACAATTACCAGAAAATTGTATATTTTCATCAGTTCTGTTCATTTGATTCGAGTTTGAGGTAAGTGCGAAGGTAAATGGAAGGAACAAACTTAATACACGATCCTTAACATGTCTTACCAATATGCCCTATTTATACTTGCGCTAAAAGCACCTTTCAAAGGCAGATATCTCAATGCTGAAAACACCTTTTTTCGATTTGTTTAGACGCGTTAACGTCCGCATAATCCACAATACAATACAGTGGAAAGCGTTCGAAGCAACATGAAGCGGTCACCTACTATTGTGCACGTTGACACCGCAGAGATGTTGCTGTACTTGACAAAGCAAATCGAAAGCGCACAGCGCTTTCGTTCGCTTGCCAACTCAGGCACATAACAATAGGGTAATCCCTATGTTCACCTCTGCATTCTGTTTTTGGTAATGATTAAACCCGTTTTTATAATAAAAAATAAAATAAATATATATTTTGTTTCTCCATTTTGATGGTAGAGCTCCGAGTATATTTGGATTAATATAAAAACTATGACGTTCAATTCTCTTTATTTAGATATGTCAGTAATATAGCTTTTAAAGGAATACCTTTTCAGAATCATTTCTTCATATTTGATTATATCTATACAAGTTCCAAACCACGGTCGTTTGTTCAACGAGCTTAATATTTCTGTCTTTAGATGTTAAGAATTTGATAAGTCGGGAACAGCGGCGTCCTGTTGTTTGTCATATATTTCTCAATCTGCGGTTTTTATTCTTTTAATCGAATAAATTTCGTCCCTTAGAAGAGACTGTTCGAAGCTCGTGTGCAAGGTCCGTATTGCAATTTTCCGAGTAAATGGGGGGAAATTTGCCGGCGAACACTCATCCAGGGACTTCAAAACAAGGAAACGACGGCGGCAGCCGGGAAAAAATCTTTGTTGCCAACTAATGTTATACGAAGCGTTAGTCGCTGGGCGCGCTAGGCGTAGGTATACACATATTCCAGTCTGACCGGAACGTTTATCAGACACATTATCCAGGCTTGCTGCAGGAGTAACAAAATGTAAGAGAGATATCTCTATTGCCCTTGCCTCGCAACTGGGGGGTAGCACAGAGATGCGGAACCAACTCAAAAGGCTAACCTTTATGGACGAGGCTTTGCTCGCTCGTAAACACTGATTACGACTTGCCCTTTTGTCTGTTTGTAAACGTTGGACGTAAAAAAAAAAAATATGGTCAGCGTTTTTATTTTTCCGCGAAGCACGAATCATTCACTGCGACCTCGCGGTGTATGACGAGACCGCACAAAAGTTCGAAACTAATCTATCAAGTCACCGATGAGATATTCCACGCGGTGTTTCAGGAACCGCATTATTCTTGACGCTACATTGCGAGGTTTGCTCGCGCACTCACCAACAACTTAAAAAAAAAAAAAGAATCTTGCAGGTTGGAGCGAACTTTAAGCATCTCAGTTTCTATCCGCAGCCAATGAGATCGCAACATTAGGCGATGAGAACTCCAAAGAACCAATCACGGAGCGAGGAGCGTGAACGGGGTAATTAAGCCACGCCCAATGTTTTCACAAGTTAATTTTAAACCCCCATAAAACTTAAGTGATATCCCTGTAGAGAACGTATGGCGTTTTATCCTTTGGAATGGACAAAGTAGAGTTCCTATTCGTTATCAATTTCGAAGGGAGATTTGAGACCCCCTGCGATGAGTGCACCCAAAAAATGAGACACAAGCAGGGTACGTTCGCTAATAATAAGAAAGAAGAAAAACTGGTTTACTGCAATGACCAAGCAAAGCCTCCCCCTGTGCACGTTTGTGTTTTAAGCCAAACTCGTTTTCTTTTTCTCAAATTTTGTCATTTGCGCGATGCGCTCAATGGAACTCAGTAATTGGCTCATCCCATTCTTCGTATAGGTAAGCACACGCGACATCACCGTGCAATTTTATATTGTAAAAGCTCACAAAAAAGACACTCATTTAGTTTCGTTTTTCCTATAAAAACGCAGGCTCTAGCGTTTCAATCCCGACCATGCTTCGTGTATTGGGATTCGCGGAAGCAAGCGACCCAAAACATCTGTTGCTGCGAGGTAATTTTCGTTTACGGCCCGCGTACTGGCGTGCACTCGTGTTTTCGCTAGAGCCAGTAGCGAGGAATGAAAGTGATTGTCCGCGCAAAATGCACCTTTTGTATCTAGGATCTTTAGTCAGCATTCGATATAGCCTCGTAACCAGGTGGTGATAATAAATGACATTTAACTAGCTCCATCCGCGTCTTAAGCCACGAGTTTTAATTCGAGAGATTGCACTTAAAGGGACCATGAAATGACCTTTTTACTTTTGCCCAGATAACTTTTGCATTAAACCGTCAATGTTCACTGAATGCCGAACAGGCATCCGTTTTCGTCTCGGTTTATTTTCTACACAAAAAATTAATGAAATATCGACTTTTTCTATATCTCCAACTGATCGCAGAACGAGCTGCGGCGTAATTTTGGCGGTCGTGACGTACCCTGTTTCCGGAACCGGAAGTTCTCTCGGCAGTAGGAGAATGGGAGCGTCAGCGGCAGTTAGCGGCGGCGAGTTGGCGGTGTGCCGGTAGGTTTTACAGCGCTGATGGCGCTGATGTCACCGATGTATTTTCCGAATCGGCGCCTCTCATCGCCGCGATAGCCATGGACACATCGCAGCTGAGCGAGATTCAATTAGATATGGTGCGTTACAGCGACAGCATGGGACTAGTCCCATACGCCGGTATGCCTGTTGGGAAATGCGGCGGGTGTTCTGGTGAAGACTCCGGAAGTCAACCCAACTGTCGTTGTTGGGAAAAGGCCGCCCGTGTCAGTCGTTTGCAAAGCGACGTAGATGGAAACAAATTGCCGCGGCGTTTTTCGTGGCCTCGGAGATGCAGGAGCCAGCCGACGTTAAAAAAGATACGTTTGAACTACGAGAGTGTCAGCAAGAGCCACGGAAATACCTGTTCACACTCGAAACGGACGCGCGCGTTTGATGGAAGTGCTGTATTTTGCTGTTGGTAAGCGCTTCGGGACCGATCTTTTACGATTGCAACTCGATACTGACGCGACACTCGGCAAAGGAAGGTTGGACCGGCATTGCACGTAGCTCCCACGAACTCTTATAGCTCGACAGTGACGTGCAGTCTGTCAGAATAAAAATGGCATACTAATAACAAAGTGTACATACCGTGTTACGAAGGTAATCCATACGGCGTTTATTTGAGCTCTATTATCATACAAAACAAGAAGATAGAATCTACGAGAGTCCCTTTTCGACGACAGTGTTCGTCAACACTGCCTCGGAAAACAAGGGGAAGCTAAAATTGAGGTCAGCGATCAGTCTATAATACGGGAAGGGTTCACAAGGGTCGCGTAGGCATATTTCATTCAGCACGCCAGCCGGTCGTGGGCAGACGGTCTTGGCCAAGTACCGTCGAAGCAACGCTGCGCTGGAGTCGGAGTGCCTGCTTCGAAGTGCCTGCTAGGCCTACCTGCCGTGCTCGATTGGTCGCGAGTCGGTGGATTCGTGGCCGTTCTGGCTTTTCTCGGGTGTTTGTGGATCCAGCGTTCCTGTTCGTCGAGGTCTGTTTCAAGTACTGTTTTCTTGCTGCTTGAAGTCGGGACGCGCGAGAAGAGCACGTAGAAAAATAA